CCTGCTGCCCGGCCTGGGCGGGCTGCCCCGCTACGGCCACCTCACGCCGCCCCCCGCCGCCCTGCAGAGGGCCCTGCCGCCCAGCCGCGAGGAGGAGGAGGAGGACGGCTTGCCACAGCCCACCGCCTGGTGGGAGTGCGAGGAGTTCCTGCGCCTGGGCCTGCGCTACTGGCACACGGCGCCTGGCACCTCCCCGGACCGCGACCTGGTGCCGCTGGTGGCCGAGCTGCGGGCCCCAGGGGAACCGCTCCAGCGGGAGCACTTCCAGGTGCTGGTGCGGATTCGGGCAGGCGCCGAGAACGCAGCGCCCAAGCCCAGCTTCGTGGCCATGCTCATGATGGAGGTGGACCAGTTTGTGCTGACCGCTCTGACACCCGACATGCTCGCGGCTGAGGATGCTGAGTCACCCGCTGACCTGTTGCTCTTCAATGTCACCTCGCCTCTGGGCCCCAGGCAGGGCTGCTTGGTGAGCACCGATGATCAGAGCCTGCCCGTGACCACCTTTAGCCAGCGGGATTTGCAGGAGCTGCGCATCGCCTACCAGCCGCCCTCGCAGGACTCGGAGCACGAGCGCCTCTTCGAGCTGGAGCTGGAGGTGCTGGACCCTGAGGGCGCCGCCTCGGAGCCCTTTGCCTTCATGATTGTGGTGAAGCCCATGAACACGCTGGCTCCCATTGTCACCCGCAACACGGGGCTGCTGCTCTATGAGGGGCAGTCACGGCCACTGGCCGGGCCAACCACCGAGCCCAGCCTGGTCATCAGTGATGAGGATGACCTGGAGCAAGTGCGGGTGAGCGTGGTGGCGGGGCTGAGGCATGGCCACCTTGTCCTGCTGGAGGAGCCCGGCATGGGCAAGCCCCAGGCTGCGGCTGCTGCACCTCGCAAGCACTTCACCGTGGCCGAGCTGGAGGCCGGAAGGATCATCTACCAGCATGACGGCAGTGAGTCACCGCTCAATGACAACCTGGTGCTGCGGCTGGAGGATGGCGGCGCCCGGCACCGTGTTGAGTTCCTTTTCCCCATCACCCTGGTGCCTGCTGATGACCAGCCACCCCTTCTTAATGCCAACACTGGATTGGACCTGGCAGAAGGCGACACAGTGCCCATCCCCACACGTGCCCTCAGTGCCACCGACATTGACTCGGATGATGCCATGCTGCAGTTTGTGCTGGAGTCGGGCCCCTCTGCAGGACAGCTGCTGCTCCGCCAGGATCAGCCACCCCCTGGCTGGGAGGAGGAGGAGGAGGAGGAGGGTGGGGGTTCCCACTGGCAGAGGGTGCCAGGCCTGCTTGGGGGGCCCCCGATATATGAAAGACTAGTGAATGAGTGGCTGCAGCAGGACATTGTGGAGGGCCATCTCTTCTACCGGCACCTCGGCTCCCACAGCCCTGGCCCTGGGGTGGTGCTGGATCAATTCACCTTCAGAGTGCAGGATGACAATGACCCACCCAACCGCTCTGGGCCACAGAGCTTCGTGATCCGGGTTCATCCGGTGGACCGGCTGCCCCCAGAACTGTATAGTGGCAGCAGCCTGCACCTAGTGGTGGCAGAGCAGCAGGTGACCCCGCTGCGGAGGAAGCACCTGCGCTACACAGACCAGGACTCTGGGGACCGGGAGCTGCACTACACTGTCACCCAGCCCCCCACCGACACTGACACCAACCACCCCCAAGGGGTCCGTCTGGGATCCCTGGTGCTCACTGACAACCACTCAGTGGAGGTGACCCATTTCACCCAGGCCCAGATCAACCACCACAAGATTTCCTACCAGCCCCCACAGGAGGAGCTGGGGGTGGCTCCCCGCCTGGCCCAGTTCCGGTACATAGTGGAGGACGTGGCTGGTAATGCAGCTGAAGGCACTTTCACTATTTACCTGCAGCCTGTTGACAACCAGCCACCTGCAATCACCAACACTGGCTTCACTGTGCCTGAAGGAGGCAGTCATGTCCTGAGCCCAAATGAGCTGGATGCCAGGGACACAGACACTGAGCCCACCCATCTCCGGTTCATCCTGACCCAGGCTCCTTGGTACGGGCAGTTGCAGCTCTCTGGGCACAGATTGCCCGTGGGAGCAACCTTTGGCCTTGAGGATATCAGACAAGGCAGGGTGGCTTATACACACGGTGGGGCAGAGTCTAGTGGTGATGTTTGCAGCCTGGACGTGAGCGATGGGGTCCATGCAGTGCCCATTGTGTTGAAGGTGACTGTACACCCTGTGGATGATGAGGTGCCCACTTTAAGACTACCCCCAGGCACTCTTGGTTCTTACCTGGATGTGTTGGAGAATGGTGCTGCTGAGATCACCACTAATGTCATCCAAGGCACAGATGAGGATACAGATGACTTGATGCTGACTTTCATTGTGGAAGATCCTCCTCAGCATGGGGACATCCTGGTTCATGGGGTGCCTGCAGAGAGGTTTTCCCAGAGGGACGTGCTGGATGGGGCAGTGGTGTATGCTCACACTGGTGGTGAAATAGGACTGCTCCCCAAAGAAGATGCCTTCAACCTCACCCTGTCTGACATGTCTGAGGAGTGGAGCATTGGGGGTAATATTGTTCAGGGGGTGTCAGTCCTGGTGACCATTCTCCCTGTTGACAGCCAAGCTCCAGAAATTTTTGTGGGGGAACATTTCATGGTGGTAGAGGGTGACAAAAGGGTTATTACATCCTCTCATCTAAGAACTGAGGATATAGATACTCCAACTGATGATATACTCTGCACCATTGTTGCTCAGCCCACCTCCGGTTATGTAGAGAACATCTCTCCAGCTCCAGGTTCAGAAAAATCGAGAGCAGGTACAGCCATAAGTGCCTTCACTTTTAAAGACCTCAGACAAGGACATATTTATTACGTTCAAAGCATCCATAAGGGAGTGGAGCCTATTGAAGATAGGTTCACTTTCCACTGCTCTGATGGCATTAACTTTTCTGAAAGGCACTTCTTCCCCATTGTCATCATCCCAACCAATGATGAAGAACCAGAAATATTTATACGAGAGTTTGTTGTCATGGAAGGCATGAGCCTGGTTATTGATACTCCCATCCTCAATGCAGTAGATGGGGACATCCCTGCTGATGAGCTGACCTTCACTATCACTAGGTTTCCCAGGCATGGCCACATCTTGAACCAGCTGATCAATGGGACAGTCCTAGTGGAGAGCTTTACTTTGGATCAGATAACTGAGAGCTCCAGCATCATGTATGAACATGATGACTCTGAGACAAAGGAAGACAGTTTTGTGGTAAAACTCTCAGATGGTAAACATACTGCAGAGAAAACTGTGCTTATCATGGTTATTTCAGTAGACGATGAGACGCCCAGAATGACTGTCAACGATGGACTGGAAATTGAAATTGGGGAAACAAAAATTATTCACAACAGAATCCTGAAAGCTACTGATCTAGATTCTGAAGACAAAACTTTGACTTACATTATAAGGTATGGGCCAAGACAAGGGCTCTTACAAAGAATAAAGCCTTTGGGTGGGGTTCAGAATATCACACTGGGAATGAACTTTACCCAAGATGAAGTGGACAGAAACTTAATTCAGTACGTGCATTTTGGCCAAGAGGGTATTCGGGATCTCATCAAGTTTGATATAACAGATGGCATAAATCCTTTCATTGACCGCTACTTTTATGTGACCATTGGCAACACTGATGTTGTCTTTCCAGATGTGATTAGCAAAGGGGTTTCCTTGAAGGAAGGGGGGAAAGTAACGCTTACTACAGACTTGCTGAGCACCAGTGATTTGAACAGCCCAGATGAGAACTTGGTTTTCACTATTACCAGGCCACCTGTTCGTGGTCATCTTGAATGCACAGACCAGCCTGGAGTACGCATCACAACCTTTACTCAGCTTCAGTTGGCAGGCAATAAAATTTACTACATTCACACTTCAGAAGATGAAGTGAAAATGGATAGTTTTGAGTTTGAAGTAACCGATGGTTATAATCCAGTGTTTCGTACTTTCCGCATTTCCATTAGTGGTGTGGACAACAAAAAACCAGTGGTCACAATACATAATCTGGTAATGAGTGAAAATGAAAATAAGCTGATCACACCTTTTGAATTGACTGTGGAGGACCGAGATACACCTGATATGTTGCTAAAATTTATCATCACCCAAGTACCAGTTCACGGTCAGGTTATGTTCAATAACACCAAACCAATCACATCCTTTAGCAAACAAGATCTGAA